TCTTCCAACTTAGTGACAGACAACAAATACAGAATTGTTGTTTGATAAAGTAGTGAAGAAAAGTTATAAAATGTATGATAATGTAATTCAAATTAAAGCATGTGTTGTTCAAGCAAATTTAACAATAAAAGCAGTACTTCTTGTTTTTAAATAAAGTTGATACCTCAACCTGTAAAGTAGACACAGTAAAGTGTTTTTATTTTGCAGGGGAAAATGTGTTTACTAACAYYACTTTMACCCRAATAAAACTGGGAGATTATGGTTCTGCTATTCAACTTCCTTTGGGCCTGGAATGTATCAGGTTACAAAAGACAATTAATGGTACAGAGCCTTTCATGTCTCCCGAGGTAAACATATATAAAACACTCTATAAAGCTCTGTTTTATGTACAAACTCTATCAAGCACATTAAACCTACTTACACATGCATCAATTTGTTTTGAAAATTAGGCCTGTCGGGGTGAAGAAATAAGCTTCAGTATTGATATTTGGAGCTGTGCTTGTCTAGCTATTCAGATACTGACTGGGAAGCCTCTTTTTCATGRCTTTACTGGATCTGTCCTTTATAAGGTAATCTTTTAGTTAAAGTCAGAATACATGCCAACTATGAAATAATGTAATCAAMTCAAATATTTTTCTTGTTTTTTTTTTATCTAATGCATGAAACTGGGTTTCCTTCTTGAAGGTTGCTACTCTAGAGCAGCCCCCACCACTACCACGATGCAGTGATGGCATGAGAGCTATGTTGACAGATATGTTTGCACTGAATCCATCTGAAAGACCTTCTGCAAAAGAACTATTGAACTATCCAATATTGAGTGAGGGTGAGTCAATGTTGCCTGATATGAAAGTTGGCAATATTGTCACTGATAAGTACATGTACCTGGTAGATTTCTGTAATTATTGTTACTTTGATGTGTGTATTAAATTTTGATTGTATCCATACCATAGATTAGTAGAAAAGTTGAAGCTTCTGAAGGCACAATTTTACAGTGTTGTGGTCTTTTTATTTCGAACCTTTTGCCGGCTTCATCAGTGAATTGCATAATTAAAGTAGTTTTACAAGAGTTATTAAGACTGATTATGTTCTTGGTAATTAATGTTTATATGTATACAATATGTGAATTACAGAAAATTGTCAGCTTCCTATTCAAATGCCTAATGAATCCATAGAGCATGACAATATGGCCGAACATGGTGAACAACTATCTGTGCATGTCAATGGGGAACTCCAACCAGGTATGTGGCAAAATATTACATTTWACTAGTAACTCAGCTATGAAGTCAAACGCTTTGTAAATTTTGGGGTATCCGGTTATTCACGCAAAAAGCTGTTTGCCCAATTTTTGTGCGAAATGTCTTCTTAAAATTGTGCAAACATTCTGAAATATTGGCAAAACAACTTGAATGTGCGAACTGTCTTGGGCGAAATGACCTATTCAAATTATTATAAATATCTTCTTGAATTTTCATTTTTATTTTCAGCTGATTTTGTAGCTGATCTATATGATTGAAATGGCATGTTATCTTGAATTCTGTTTTAGTTAACAAGCTTAAATGTTTAAAACTCGTACATGTACATATCTTAGTCTAATAATTGAATTGATATAGCTCCTAAAGGGATATTTTAAATAATATTATAGCGAATTGCTCCCAACTTCAATTGCACAGTGATGTACCTGATGATTCCATAAACAAAGAACATGTTCCATTAAATGTTCATGATGTAAACAATATGGCTGAGCACAGTGAACAACTACTACCAGAACATGAGGAACTTCATCAACTCCAGTCAGGTATTTTAAGTGAATGGCAAATGTTTCTGACTCCAATGCCATCCACCCAATGCTCTAGGGACTCTACTTACAGCTTTTTGCTAGGAAAGGACAGACCATTAACAAATATTTACATAGAAACATTTTTGTGAGCACTTTTGCCCTCTTTCAAGGGTGGTGGATGGATTTGAAATTTTCTGAAACACATTATTTCCTGTGAGACTGAGACTCAAATAGTGCAAACAAAATTGAGACTCCAAGTTATATGTGACTGCAAGATGGAACTAAAATTTGACTAAAATTTGGCAAGACCTGGAATTTTTGAAAGAAACCATTCTTTCATGAGTAGCAGCATCAGCCCTTTTCTCGAGGCGAAGATACGACAGTCAGTTGATACATATCTGTTTGACTTGCAGAGTTGATTCTGAGTCTGTCTCTTGATGGAGCTAATGTAACTGACTATCTCAGAATGGGGAGTCAGACTGATGGGCCTGCTGTCAATGATGAAGGAGATGCTTCTGATGAAGACAGTGATCCATSTTACAATGATTATGGTAATTAACGGTCAATGATAGTGTTATTATTGTAATAGTATTAATCAATTCTAATATAATGTTTTTTGAAATAGGTGTAAATACAAATTTTATTTCAAATGTATTCTGTAGTTCCTATGAATGACGKGGCATCAAGCTTTGCAGTTGGTACATACTCCATTAAAGGTATTGGTTATACATACATCCAAATACACAAACATTGTCCAAGAAAAAAAAMCCTAGAGTTTAAGCCTTCTGGAAATACRGGTTAAACCTCAAATTTCTAGAACTATTGTAAGGTCAACATTTTTTCGTGCTTTATTTTGTTTTCTGCGCAAGTGGAGTCTGTTGTCTATTAAAACAGCGTTTGATCGCATTGAACGTGGAGAARGCTTATTGTTGTGTTGTGTTATTTTTTTCTTTTGCCACCAGTACATGCATTTCAMTTTTTTCCGAATTACTTGTTACAATGTATCTGTTGCTCAAAAAACACATATTGATTTGGATTTCTCATTTTTATGYTTGTGTTTAGATCTAACCAAAGTGGTYTTCTACAATGATAAAAATGAACTACTGTTTGAAGTGAGAGAGAAGGCTTCTTGTACTGTTGGTCGTCTGGCTGCAAAGCTTCATGGCCAGGTGAGTGTGTCTGTCTTTCTTTGGTTGGACTGTTGGATCATTACTATAGTTGGTCTGCATGTTAGTTGGTTGGTGTATCTTTCATGTATTGGGTTGCCTGTATGTCACTGGCAGGCTGGATCCATGTCGGTTAGTCTGTCATCGTTTGGTCGATATGTCGGTTGCCTATAGTTGGGTTGTTGAGCTGTTTGTTGATTGGTTGATTGGTCTGCCTGTCTGTTTTGCAATTGGTTTGATAGTTATTATGTCACGGTAAGATTTCAATACATCGTATCACGGAATCTGCTTTCTTTCGGAGTGTTTTCAACGTTTTTGACCCACCAACATCTATTAGGGGGGGGGGGCATATTAGATGTAGATATGAGAAGTTTGAAGCTCATGTCTCTCAAACAATTTATTTTTTCATGTTAAACTGGGTATTCGTATGTGCCACGCCCATCGTAAGACTGTGGTATTCGCTTTAGGGATATTTTGAARTATTTCCGACGATCATATCTTTCATTGTAATTCATTTCTCAGATCAAAGAAAAAGACGTCAATCTTGATTGCTTTGCTGTCCAGTCGTCTGCTAATACTGTGCTTGACGCTGATCAGATTATTGGTCATACCAGGCTCTCTCTTTTCCTTCAACGAGCTAGCGAAGAAGACTGGTACACAAAGTGGAAATGGAGAGTAGATTTACATGGAAATATTCAGCGAAATGACAGAGTTATGGCTTAAGGAAAAAGGCAGGACTTGAAATATTTTTTGGACTAACACCGGAAATTCTGTCAAATTTTGCTTCGACAATCCAAAAATACACCCTAACAACACATGTAGAGAAAACAGCATGTTGTCAAGCAATAAAATGTCACTCTTTTTTTAGCGTCTAGGAAAAAGTATGATAAACCTTTTATACCAGAGAATTTCTGCGTCGTCCAGTCCTTATTTCAATCCCTGCTGAACTCGGGTTTGACTTAAAACAATATCACTCGCTTAGCTCTTCGGTCCTGGATAGTCTAAGAGGGCCTAAGCTGAAACTAGGCAATCTGTTTGTAACGTAAACTGTAAACATTAATTTGTAACAAATTGTCAAATCCACGACATTCKTGAAATCGAGTGATTTTTATCGGAAATTGAATTAACTAAGTTAATGTTCATGCATGCAATCCGTGAAATAATAGTACGAAGTGCTACTTGATTACTGCAGCGGGGAATTTAGAGATAATGCGATAGGGTCGTCCGGTTTCTTTTTAATCTTTTAACATATGGATTGAAGTTTTGTAAATTGTATTCAAACAACAGTAGCTAGTAAATACAAGGAAGTGGAAAATTTGAACCCCGTTTTCGGGTAGAATCCTGGATCCGCCACTGCAGTTATCAGAACACATTGCAAAATAATCACAGCTAATGCCACAAATTCCTGAAACAAAGTGTAATGCAACGTGAAAAAAAAGGAAATTCAAGTAGTGCGCTTACTAACAAGAATCGTTTTCCGTGCATATATAGACGGGATATTACACGGTGCCGCAAAGATATGAATAATATTTTTGAATGGGGAAACAATATTTTACGAGTGATTGCAGCGAACGAGTAAAATGTTGTTTATAAGACGAGAAAATAAAATTCATATCTTCAAGTCAACGTGTAATATTCTTATTATTATTTGGACAAACTAAAGCGACAAGTAGAAACTATGAGCGGGACATTTTGGTACATAACTTTTTCATATCTTCACTAGTAAGTGAAAATATAGAAAGAACTAGGGTTTTAGTTTTCGGTAAAACACTACTAAAATAGCCATATAATAAATGGTGCAGTATTATATCTTGTCTTTGATATACATTAGAGTAGACGCAATTACTGTAGAGTAGTTTTCATTAATTCTTGAAACAAAGTGTAATAGTCAAAATGTGTAATGAAATATGTTTCATGTCGCAATTCACTAATATACTTTACTTTAACACTTGTTCCTCATAGAATTGTCTGTAACTATAGTTAGAATTCTAGCATATCCTCGACCTCGTATTTAATGACTTGTTGATTCGTCGTGTATTTGAAGGCATTTCTCGTCAATACAACGTCAGTCGATCCTCGACCCCATGCTCCTGACTGCCTTTCGCTTTTTCTTATTTCTCCACAGGTTTTCTTTGTCTTTATTACTCCTCGTTTATTACCAAAAGATTTTAATTGATTGCCAATCTAAATTAACGGTAAAAGCGAGAAAATCACATAAAATTACCCATAATGCATTCACCCGACGTAGTGATATACGTTAGCAGTCAATTGTTTGCAATGCCTCTAAGGTTATAGTATATTAGTTCAACATTAGAAAAATGGAATTGATATTGTTTTAACCCAAGGTATTTGGATTACTGTTTATGTATTTTCCACTSCATGAAATCAAAATTGAGGAAATAGGAAGTAACGTGCTGAAAGGGAAGTAAATAAAACGAATATTGACGAGTTTCAAACGATGAGAACAATGGAAAAGTTGATCTAATCCGACAGCTCATCGTACATARTTCTCCACTCGCTAGGAAATCTGGATGAGATGGTCGACTTGCCCATTCCTATGTCTTACGTTCCACGCCCATCTTCGTAAGACTATGGTATCCGCTTTAGGGATATTTTGGAATATTTACCACGATCATATCTTTCATTGTAATTCATTTCTGAGATCAAAGAAAAAGACGCCAATCTTGATTGCTTTGCTTGTTTGCTAATACTGTGCTTGGTGCTGATCAAAGTATTATCATTTATTTACTTCCCTTTCAGCAGTACTTCCTAATTCCTTTATTTCATGAAGTGGAAAGTACATATGATTTGATAAACAGTAATCCAAATACTTTGGTTAAAACAATATCAATTCCGTTAATGTCTAACGTTAAAGCCATTTTCAAAAAATGACTGCTGCTAACATGTATCACATGCATTAGGTTGGGTGAATGCATTATGGGCAATTTTATGTTATTTTATCGCTTTAACCGTTAATTTAGATTGSCAATGAATTTGATAATCTCACTGCTTAGCTCTTCGCTCCTGGATAGTCTTAAATTGTATAGTAAATAGRATATCATGTAAAGAGGGCCTAAGCTGAAACTAGTCAACGTGGAAATGTCATGTTTGTAACGTAAACTGTAAACATTAATCTGTAACAAATAGTCAAATCCACGACATTTATCAGAACTTGAATTAACTAAGTTAGAGTGCACGCACGCAATCCGTGAAATAAATAGTACGAAGAAGTGCTACTTGATAACTGCAACGGGTATTTTAGGGATAAATCGATAGGGTCGTCCGGTTTCTTTTTAATCTTTTAACATGGGGGAAAGAAGTCTTGCAAATTGTATTGAAACAACACTGCGTAGTTAGTAAAAACAAGGAAGTGGAAAATTTGGACCGCGTTTTGTGATAAAATCCTGGATCCGCCACTGCAGTTATAAGAACACATTGCGTAATAATCACAGCTAATACCACAAGTCCATATGAAACAAAGTGTAAGGCAACATGAAAAATATTTAAAGAAATGTCGTATGGTTCGTGCAAGCTAACAAGAATCGTTTTGCATGCATATAATCGATTAGCCTGTATGTTTAACTCGGTGAACAAGCGAGAAGTAGAAATGAGCGGGAAAGGTTTTTTTTGGCGCGCGCGTACATCCGGGACATTTCGGTACATAACTTTTTCATATCTTAACTAGTGAAAATGTGGATAATACGAGTGTTTTAGTTTCCGGTAAAACACTATTAACCATATAATAAATAGTGGTCTTTTGTCTTGATACATAAATAACGCATTTACTGTAGAGTAGTTTTCATTAATTCGTGAAATAAAGTAAAATAGTCGAGGTTAAACGTGCAAAATATGATTAAAAATAAGCTTACATTTTAATAAGGATTTATTACCAAAAGATTTTAATTGATTGCCAATCTAAATTAACGTTAAAGGCGAGAAAATCGCATAAAAATACCCATAATGCATTCACCTGACCTAATGATACATRTTAGCAGTCAATGGCCATTTCCCAAGATGTTGATTCTCCAGAAAAAAAGCAAGGCTTTGGCTAGGCCACAACACTTTCTCGTGCTCACAACAGATGTAGAAAATTGCTGAGCAAGTAATAACGTTACACTTTGATAATCCTATTTTGCCTGCAAAGTGTTGACTACAAATTAAATGTTTTCAATTAAATTCGATTTCTGCCGAGTGCAGTTTAGGCACTGCATCCAAAGTTTTCATAACTATTTATCTTGTAGTTATTTTATGAAAAGTTCTCTTGGCTTCTTCTACGATAATTCCTGAACATGCACGACAAAGTCGAATATAACGTATCACTTTGTTTTTTTTTTATATATTATTTTTTCAGCAGTTTTCTTCATCCATTTTTAACACGACAAAATGTTGTGACCTAGCCAAAGTCTTGATTTGGTTCTGCAGAGCTAACACCTTGGGAAAGGCCCATTGTTTGTAAATGGCTCTAAGGTTATAGTATATTAGTTCAACATTAGAAAAACGGAATTAATATTGTTTTAACCAAAGTATTTGGATTACTGTTTATCAAATCACATGTATTTTCCACTCCACTTGAAAAGTCAAAATTAAGGCAATAGGACGTACTGCTGAAAGGGAAGTAAATAAAACGAATAATGACAGTTAGAATTTCAAACGATGAGAACAATGGAAAAGTTGATCTAGGCAGACAGCTCATCGTACATAGTTCTCCATTCGCTAGGAAATCTGGATGAGATGACTTCCCTATTCCTGTTTACTGGAGGAGAATTGATTCGAATTGCATTATTGCACACTGGCTGATGCAACATCCTTAGGAAACTGCATAAAAATAATGGTGGTCCATGGGCTCTTTCACTGTACATCTATACACCCGCAGAAGTACATCTGACACCCGGCAATTCAACCAGAAGATCTCTACAGACAGAAAAGGTTAGCAGTAATTATGGTTGTCCATCACTTGCCGTTAAGGAGATATTTGGTGAAATAGGTCACGTGACCTAAATTCACTTCTGAAAATCTGCTGTTTTCTCCTTATTTTATTTAGAAAGTCATCCATTCTAGGACAGGTCTTGTTGGTTTAGGTCTACTAAATACTTTGAAATCAAAAAAACTTTCATTAAAGTACATTCTCATTACCCCATTTTGAAATTACTGTTTTTTCGTCTTTTGGGTCACGTGACCTCCATATTTGGACAAAACATATTTAAAAATTCCAAGGATCATGATTCTCTTCATGACACCAAAGCTTATTCCTCTACAGTAAATGTTAGTTAAAATATAACGTTTTTAATTTTTTTGATATCGCCTAAAATCCCAGGCCTTAACTCACTTGAGTATAGCGGTACAGCCGAGTAATAATTCACAATACTATGTTATAGTATAGTAGTTAGACTTGCCACAAGTCGACCACACTGTTGGGACACTGATAATTGGAAAACTGATATTTCGAGCGACGTAGTCGCGAGACGAGCGACGAAGGCGTGAACGCGAGCGCGAGCGGTCGTCCGTTTTCCGGGAGATAAGCGAACCAGGAAAAACGGACTTTGAGAAAGTCTATATGGTATTCAAAGATATTTAAATTACTTGCGAATTTATTGAACGGCTTCAAAAACTCCAACGCTAATTTGAAACTCAAACCCGTTAGGGTTCTTGGAGAAATGGTCGTAAAAAATAAGATTTGAGATAAGGGCCAAACTGATCATGCGCGAAACACTTAACAAACCACTCTTGTCTTCCCACACATTGAATACGCATAAAGTAATAGAAGCCCTGATGGTACGAAAAAAACGTTTTTGATAATAATCGTGAAAATTTGCAATTTTTTCCAAAGTGACACTAACCCTACATTCCAGGAGAAAGCCTAAGGTTTAAACCTTCTGGGATTTATACAGGGTTGGCCTCAACTCAAATTGTCGTGGCTATTGCAATGACAACATTTGCTTTCTTTTGTGTTTGGTAAGATCTTTGTGCAAGAGAATCTGCTGTCAAATAAAACAGCGGTTGTTTGCTTTCTAATAGAAAATGGCAGTTTTATAATNTATATTATATTTTTAAAATAATTTTCCGAAAATGTACACCTTCAGACAAAATATGCAGTGAATTTTACTACAAATTAATTTTTTTAACACTCTTGTAGGAGATCGCTTCATTGATTGTAAAGAGTTCCGTCGAGTAGAATTTGGCAGGGGAAGAGCAATGGCAGCTCGATGCTGAGCAGTTCAGATGATGTGATTTTGAACAAGAAACCGTATAAGAATAAAATCAAATTAAAATTAAATGGAATTTAAATAACATATTATGTGGATATTAAAAGTTGACTTGTCAATGATACGGACTAGTGTTCAACATGCTATACTATGTCAATAATAAACCATTAAAAATGATGATAATTAAGAACGCGTCGTTCACCACTAAACCCAGTCTGGTTTACACAGGCTTACAGTATATCAATTCATTCGACGTTTCTAAGCCAAAACGTTTTTATACTAATCAGCCAATCAGCGCGCGTACATCCACTAAGAGTGCTCAAGAGTGGAACAGTATAGTAGAGTGTGTTCACGCGCTCTGATTGGCTGATTATCAATTTACAAAGCGAGCAGAGAAGTCCTGGGAGTGAAGTCGTTGCATTTTGAATATTTTATGACATCAAAACACAGGTAGCCCAAGCTTAGTATTAGTTTAGGTGCGCGTTCACGCTGGAACTCTGGCCGGAATTGGCCTCATCTGAGGCTGGCAAAGTGTTCAGGTTTGGGGCCGGCTAAAAAGCAGCTCCACTTTGAGGACAGGTCACTTCGAAGCAGTGAATTTAAATAACACATATGGATATTAAAAGTTGACTTGTCAATGATACGGACTAGTGTTCAACATGCTATATTACGTCAATAATAAACCACTGAAAATGATGATAATACTCCGATTTCGAGTTTTGGTTTGCTCTGTGTTAGCCTCAAAACC